GGCGGGGCTCTCTGCGCAGCTGCGGCAACAATCGGGTTATAGATGTGTATGGTAATCTGCCATTTCCCGGACATTGCACGGATTGTCTGGCCCAGGAGAAAAGGCCAAAGTGCCTTTATTCTTTTGGACCAGGCGCGCATTTTTCTCCCGGACAAGCTCAGCTGAGCTTTTTCTTTCTTTGCAAGGCGAGCTGAAAGTTCAAGAGTTGAACATGGAGTTTTTCTGCGGCGCTGAGGGGTTTGTTACGCTCTCAGGGGTCTGCTCCAAGCCATGATGCTGCGTTTGCTACTACAAGAAGCTGAAGGAGCCACTCCATCCCACCTGGACTGGGGCCATGAGAGACATTCCTTGGCCACAGGGACCCTGAGCCATCCCTAAAGTCAGATTGCAAAGCTCTCAAGATGTGGAAGGCACTAATGAGCCTTAATGACTCTGAGGAGCCTCAGCTGGGACCCTGCCCATACTCATGGGCCCAGGGCTGAGCTATGGAGGAGGCTGGTCTTCAGATCAGTCGTGTCTCCTGGGTGGACCTTGGTCCCTTGCTTGTATATTGGATGGACCTTGGCCCTACACGTGTCCCTCATGCTTGTCTACTAGATGGCTTCCTTGCACGTAGGTTGTAGTTGGTGCCCATCCCCACCTCTATCCCAACTCTTTTTGCTCCTGACTGAACTCCCTGGGAGGACCCTGGACCTCATTCACCATTTGCCATGTGTGGGACTGTTGATAGACCCCCTGTTACCTGGCTCTGCACACTGTGGTCATCCCCTGTGGGACCATGCCCCATTGGCAAGAGTAACTTCCACAGCCATATCCAACCAAAGCCATGGCTGAGCAGAGTGGCTGTTCCTACCTGTGTCTAGCAGGAGCTTTGCAATCGGGAAGTTGGAGTGGGAAACGCTGTAGTGAAGAGCCGTGTTGCCGTTCCTGTCAGCCAGGTTCACCACCATCGCCAGGAGCTCAGGCTGGATGGCCTCCAGTGCCTTGAGATACGCTGCAACCACCTCTGGGCTGGAAGACTTGCAGCTTGACACCCGGAACCACTCCTGGCAGACGGTGTTCAGGACGTGCCGCTGAAAACACCAAGGTCTCCCCGTTACTCCTGGGTTAGTCATCCTGCAAACCAGTCACTGCCCCAGCTCCTCACCCCGTGCCGCTTCATCTTCTGCTCTGGCATCACCCAGCTGGTATTTAGCTTGTGGTTTTGGGATTACTGCTGTAACTTAAGGGGGAAAGGAATTTCCTGTGGTAACTTGAATGAGTAAGCAGAGAAAGCTTTTTTTCCCCTTTTCCTTTCTTTTTGTCTATTCTAAAACTAACTCAGAGGTCCTCTCACCCCCCTTCTCCTCACAAAGCTGTCTCTGGCATGGTAGGGCACAGCCTGCAACGCACCATCAGGATAATCTTATCCAATAAACATAACAGAGAGTGGGAACCGTGTCTGAAATGGGATTGAAAAATAATATCTGTACCAGATGTTTGTCGCTTGTGGTCCTGATTTCTGAGAGGTGCTTGCTGAGGAGCTGGCAGTCAGCGAGGAAATCTTCAGAGGGTTTGCATCTAAAGGGAAAATACTTTTGTAAATCCATCATGGGACAGAACTTGCAGGAGGTACTGCAGCAGGAAGGAGAACATGCAGTTTAGGTCAGAATATATTAAACATTTATTTAAGGGCTTAATCTTATGGACACAAGTTGTCCCATTGTCTTGACACAGATTTTAGGTACAAAAAGTTAAGCACTTGCAGTAAGTGTTTAAGTCCAGAGTCTCAGAGCTGTATGGTCAAGCTCATCTTTTACAAGAATCCTTAAGGTGGGGAAAAAAGAAAAATATATTTATATATATTTATAAAAGATCTTATTCCTCAATCTGCAAAGAACGTTACTTAGAAACTTTACTTGAGAGGGGAGAAATGAGCTAATTCTCACCAAAGATGACTCACTCCACCTTTTCCACAGTCAAGTGTAGAGCCTGAATCAATCCCCATTAGAATCTGTAGTAACTCAAAAAATATTTAGCTCTTTAAAGCCTTTTCCCATGTCTACAGAGGTCAGCAGCTGCCTTTCCACCGACCCCAGCCCCGTGGGAGCGACTGAATGCAGCGCTGTGCATCCCAGGGCTTCAGAGATGTGATGGACAGCACAATCGCCGTCGGGTTTTCTGGTTACCTGTCAGCCTTGGGCTGAGGGCAAGGTACTGCTTCTGCTGATGGCTCCTGCGGGTCATCATCTTCACACCTCTCCTGCGAGGAGGTCCCTGCTGAAGCCCCCTCACTTTCACCTCCAGCTTTTGCCTGTGTGGGCTCCAAATCATCAGCTCTTCTCTCTGTCTCGCTCTCCGCGTCCCCATCCGATGGGCTGTCTTCACAACTTGTGTCTTCGCTTGAAGTCGTTTCATAGCTATTTGAGGACACCACATGTTATTCACTCCTTCCTCATCTGCAACCTCAGAGCCTGACCAAGACTCATTGAAGACACCCACCGACTCCAATGGACCTTGGATGAAGCCCAGGGCAATATGCAAGTTAGAAGGTTAGAGCCACAGCCACACTTGGGGTTAGTCTTTTTTTTTTTTTTGGCTTCTTAAGCCAGCAGAAGCATGATAGAAGCAGTTAATTAGCAGCAGGCAAGGTTACTTCAGGGACTACTTGGTTGGTCTGGAGGGATGTCCATTGCACAAGCCCAGGCGTGGCCAGGCAAGGGCTGTGTGCCACCTCCCTTCCAGGAGCTGCCAGCACGCTGATGGGGAGTCGCAATAAACACAAGACCCCATGACAAGGTGGGACAGGCAGCATGTTGGCAACCTTGAGGATCACTAGACAAAAACTATGTTTGCAGCTCCAGCACGGACCTGAGTCCACCATTCCAGCAGCTCTGCTAGAGACACCTCTCTTCTAGTTGTCCAAAAGTATTAATAACAGTAACACCTTCCATGAGACATTTCACCCTGAGGGATCCCAAAAATTTTGTCAAACCAGTGGAGATTCCTCTCCTCACTACAAGTTGTACTCATTTCAGTGACTGTTGGTAGAAGAAGCTCTACACAACAAGAGTGAGTAACACCTGATAAACCCAACAGTAGTAGCCAGAGAGCTGGGAAGTCAGAAAAGTGTATCTCAGGAGAAACTATCATCCAAACGTGCACACAGCTGCTTGCTCAGTGAAGGGACAGTGAAACGTGTCCTGCCCTCTTCACGCCAGCACACGTACTCCTCAGTAGATGTGCCAGTGCTGCTCTTGGAGATGGATCTACTGCACACATTGTTGTATCTAGTTAGCTCAAAGGCCAAACATCGTTAGATACTCTTGGAGATGGATCTACTGCACACATTGTATCTAGTTAGCTCAAAGGCCAAACAGTGTTAGATATCAGAAACACAGGGAACCAAGTGTTGGAGCACAATCTAAAATACGAGTCTCCTCCACCCTGAGGTAATTCCTTATTTACTGAAATAGTCCTTTCTCACTCCCTGAACCAACTTTTGTTGGCCATCACTGGAGTGTGGTGACGGGTTAGTGGCAGCATGCCCACCTAGGAGATGCTGACTTCCTCCAAAACCCACCAGAGTTAGTGGGAATCTTCCCACAGGCCCAGCTGGGTTTTGGATGAAGCCCTGAAAGATGGGTGTGCGGAGAGTGTCGGTCCCCAGGGTGTCCCTCGCTGCACTGAAAACACCAACATCTTTTCTACAGGGTTACTTACAGGTTACCAATGCTGGATTAAAGAAGGGAGAAAAGAGGCTCCATTTCAAATGGCCTTTTAATGGAGAGGTTTGGAGGGGAAAAGAAGGAATAAGAAGAATGATTTCTTCAGCGATACAGAGGGTGTTACATGTTAAAAGGCGGTTTTATCTTCTGAATGGATGCTTACCCACCATTTACCCCAACAAACTGAAGATTCTTTTTGGTCCCATTGCCTCCTGCATGGAAACCATAACCTTTCTTTTTCATGATAGATTTAAGATTTGTGGTTGGAGAGATTTCTAGCAAAATACAAAATAATAGATTAATTACACAGACGAACCTTAATCATCAATAATTATTCCCAACCTCTAGCAACAAGCTACAAACCATAACCGTAAGCATCTTACTACATCTTATGAGATTCTTTTTATGTCTTGCAACTTGCTAAACTATGGATGCACCTGGCCACAACCTGAACCTGCCCTGCTACCTTTAAAATATAGGTCTCAAACATCTCCAAGTAACTGGGAATATAAAGGAAGTGACTGGGAATTATATATGTGCCCTATGAATATAAGTAGGGTTTTACTTTTGTAATAATATATTCTTTTTACATTTTTTTCAATATTAATATATTGGTAATTTCCTATATAAATCTCCTATAATGCTATATGGGTGAGTCTTTCCAGCAGAGTTTGAACAGTCTCACTATGTATTGCTTGTAAGTAGTAGGTCACTTATCTATTTACAAGCTTCCCCCAACAGTGAACAGGCAGCCTTTGGTTTTGGATTCTCATCTTCACATAAGCTAAAATGATTTGAGATGAACGGCTGGGAGTGGGGACAGGTCTTTTCCCAGCTTAGTTGTTCAGTTAGCTTGAATTGGTTTTGGTTCTGGTGATCTTCATGCTGATTTACCCCAGATGAACATCTGAGTCCCACGTTCTCGCAAACTGAGATTTCAAACCCAATTAAGAAAAAAATGGTTATTTGATGGACCAGCCACAAGCACGGCCACTTTTGGAAGCTGACCCTGTGTATAACTAAGCCACAGTGTTTTGTTTGGGTTTTTTTTTCTTAGATCACATAGCTCATGATGTGCTGAGATTTGCCTTTCTCATACATTTTTAAAAGGGGCTATTCTTGATCTAACTGCCACTAATTACACCACCGAGCTCTGCTACGTCACCCCTGCTCAACACTTGAATAAATGGAAAGAGAGTTGGCCCAGATAGGTTGAAACCTACGCCAATATTATTTACCCAACTGTTGATAGTGTGTGTTCGAATTCTCCTTATCCGCGGGCCCTTGCGTAGAGTAGGCAGACAGCAAGGAGTTTAAGGAATTAACTAATTGGTTCTGAATGGAGCTGAGCTTGGAGGCTGGCTGTTTAATAGCGCTGGCTAACTCGGGGTAGCCGTGCTCCAAACACAGCCACTGCTCCTGCAAAAGCTCCTGGATTTTTTTTACATATTGGCCGATGGGGTCAACAGCAGGGAGATCCTCGTGGTCAGGGGGACCTTCCTCTTCCAGCCCATCTTGAGGTGTATCTTCACCAAAGCCTGCCTTGTTTTCTGCTGTGTTTGAGCCAATTTTTGTTCCTTGATAGCCTTCTGCAGTCACGGCGTGAGCAGTGGGACTCTGGGTGTTGTAGTTATTCCTGTGATTTTGATTGTCATCGCTGAGGTGCTCATCAATCTTCAGTTGGGTGAAGCACGGTGCATGAAGGCCAGCCTCAGTGTCGGCTTCACCAAAATGTCCAGGTCCTTCTCCACTGACACCGGGGCAAGCATCTGCCAGTCCCCGATCTCTCCGACCACCCAGCTCCATCGCCTGCACGTTCATGTTGTCTGCTCTGTGGACGCTGCATCCGATGGATCTGGTGGAGACAGGTATATTTACGTTGATGCCTTTATCATGGCCCTGCTTGGCCCCAGTTACCTGCGAGAGGTCAGTGTTCACCGCAGCATCGTGGCACTGCAAAGCCCCACCACTCTGCCTGGACGGTGGCTTGGCCTCTTCCGTGTTTTGCTGGCACAGCTTCTCTTCCAGCTGAGCTTTGGAGCTGGCCAGTAACTTAATGCTTTTCTCCTTCTCCTTGATCTCGTGATCCTGCTGCTCCAACACTGCCCTGATCTGCTCGAGCTCTTCCTTCTTCTTGCTCAGTTGCTCCTCCAGGGCAGCAATCTGCTGTTTCAGCGCAGCGACCGTGCCGGGCTCTCCTGCATCAGGAGGCTGAGGACCACAGCTCTCCTTCTTCTCTCCAGCCTGGACACTTCCCTCCTCAACTTTCTTCAGCACATTCGGAGCGATTTCACTCAGGCTTAACTCCCCTTCCCCAAGGTTTGGGTTCTCCTCTGCGACCTGGAGGGCACTCAGTGAGGTTAGTTCATCCCTGGCCAAGGAAGAGTGACCACTGGCATCGGTGGCATCGCCCTCCTCACCTCCGCTCTCCATC